CAGGCGGAGGTCTTGCGCCCATGCTGCTTGAGACATTTTGTGCTGGACATATACAGAGCGCTGGACTGGATGGTCTGATCCAGCATGACTTTCTTATGTTCTTAATCGAAGTTCTGTTGTCACTGCCCAAGCTGCCTGTGAAAGTCTTTACGCTCCTCAGATCTATGTACTGTAATTTAGATTTTGGCACTGATCAACCCCCCACCCCCTGTTTGTGATTTCCCTCAGCTTCTACCACTAGGTGAGCACCAGTCCAACATGATTTTACTTTGATGCTAAAGGAAAATGCAGCTTATCTGAGAGGGGAGGCCAAGATGCAAATTCACCATTACCTCTGTTAGCCTGGGTCCAAGCAAGGTCCAAGCAAACCCAACTAAACCTGCTGTATCTAGAAGCATGTGGCATACTTACTGTTTGAGACAACCCTCTGGGAATACTTTCCGTGGGTACCAGAATAATACATTTGCATAACTTGCACAAAAAAATGTATGATGAATGTTCATGGGTAGTATAATTATTCAGGTCTCAGAATCCAGCTTCCAGGGATCCACAACCTTTTTGGCTAGGTAGATATTATGAGTGTATATTCTAAGTACACTCACAAAATTGTTGCCTTGTAGGGACTTACTTATTCATAAAATCATACAATAACACAACATCTATCTCCTAGGAAGAAAACTGTTGAGATGAAAAGTAACTTGCCCAAAAACTAGACACAAGGTAGAAGAGGGGGTTAGGTCTAAGACAAAGCCTTTTAAACCCAAATAAAGTCAGTGTGGGAAGTCAGTGCTTCACTATGCACCATTGCATTTTCCCAGTTTTTTTAAAATTAACCTAATTTAAAATAAAAAGGGGGCAGGGAGTCAGGGAAAGAGGTGGCTGAAAATGGGAGGACCACATTGGAGACCAGCAATATTTTTAGCACAGGATACCCACTGTTCTGATAACCATGATCTCTCTTACTAGGATTATCAAAAAGAAGACCGAGATGGAAGAAAATGTTGCCACAGGCATTCAAATGGAAATTTAGCACATGGCTGATGCCAAAATGCAGAGCAGTGTATCTACTTTGCTCTACTTTTTTACATCTTCGTATACATTTTCATATATATGATATTATGATATTCCTCTTGAAGAAGAGGAATTGGTGCTTGTAGTCAGTATATAACTATGACATCAGGAGAAAGGCATCACTCCCATGAAATTCTTCCTGGAAACCACATATAATCTAGGAATATGGTAATGAAGACCCTCAGTTCCCAAAGTAATATGGTACCCTAGATTGCCAGTTGCCATTCAGTCCTTTTTTTTGGCATGAAAAGGTGTTGTAATTCAGGGATGGGCAGATATTCTGGACTTCAACTCCCAGAGGCCCCTTTCATTATGGCCAGTGGGACCACGAATGCTGGGAGATAAAGTCCTAAACATATAAAGGTCTACTTTCTGCCCAGCCCTGCTGTAATCAATGTTGTATCAACCCAAAGTCTTATCTCCTACAGAGTGAATTTAGAATTCACTTGCAGCCTAGCAGAGAAAATGACAGACCTTTTCCTTGAAACAAATTATAGCCTGAGAGACAGGGAAGTATGCCAAATACATTGCATATCTTTAAAATCACTATGTCTGAGCATCTTAACTAGATGGAGCAAGAATCAGAGTGGAAGCAGTGATGAACTGATTATCGTGATTTGTTTCAGGACTACTGTAGCTTCCAGGAATGGAAATTCTGTAACAGTTTGTAAGAAAATCGTCCTACCTTACTCTGAAACAGACTGGTGGGGTGTCTGCCTGATGAAAGCAGCACCCCAGGGACTCAGGCAAAGAGTCTAAGCATTGTTTTAACTGGAGGTACCGGAGATGGAGCCTTGAACCTTTACGTGAGCAAGCCCTGATAGGCCCCTGGCATCCAAGCCTTGTTGTTTGTTGTTTTGCAGTATTTGTCTTGTTAATGAAGGCTCTCCTTAACACAGGCAGGAGAGGCAACCTTAGGAGCATGCAAACATTAACCACTTGACATTTTAATCACCCCCCCCCATCTCATGGTTTTGCATGTTTTACTTTGTTAGAGAGAAGAGCTGGGGTATTGGTTGTCAGCTATTAATTATGAAATCTATTTTTAACAGTAGTCTGCCTACGTGGCTTGCCCTTTCTCCCACATATCAAATGTGAATATTAGTGTTGCATTGGAGCAGACTAATGCTGGCTTTTTGCTAACTACAATTAGTACATGGGAAGCTCTAGAACAGGAGCTGGAAGCCTAGTGCCTACCATTGTTCTGTGCTGCAATTTTCATCAGTTCCGTCCAGCTTGTTTGCGGAACTTGGTAGTTCCACACTGAGTTGCCTGCCTGTGTCACAGAAGATTCTCGTCCCTGAAACAAGTTCCCTTCTTCCAAATGGTTAAGTACTTCCTCAGTGCATTTGTAAACTGTGGTTAAAGCTAACCAGGGTTTCTTCTAATTCAGGACTGAAAATACACTTGGAAGTATATTACAGATTCCGGTCTAAAGAAATGTTCTAAAATTTTAATCAATTTAAAGTTGATGCCATTGGAGTGAATAGCTAGTGGGGCTTTGGGTAGAGAAATTTGTTTCACGTAGGGGAACACCTGTGGAGAACACACCTTTCAGAGGCTGGCTTCTGACTTTTGCTAATTTTCATAGAATCATAGAATAGTAGAGTTGGAAGGGGCCATGAAGGCCATCAGGTCCAACCCCCTGCTGTTGCAGGACACCAGTTTACACCATCCCACTCAAGTTCCTGTTCAGTTTCACCTTGAATGTTCTGATTGGCAATGAGCCAGTGGACTTCTTTCGAAGATGGTTGCAGGCTTCCTAAACCATGGTTACAGACATGGAAACAAGCAGCAGGGCCAAGCACCACCTTTGACCTCTTCCGTCCTCCCCCCTCTTACATGCTGGCTTCGCAGGGAATACCTTGGCTGGTGCTATTTCAGAATGCCCGGCTGCATTTGAACTGCCCTTCTGTTTCTTAAATGCCCCCAGTGGCTAACAGCAAAATGGGCAAGAGCAACTGCTTTATATTCAGAAGGTCCCACAGTCGGTCTCCAGGTGTGGCTGAAAAAGCTTGTGTTTGACAAAGCACTGCTGCCAGTCAGTGTCAGCAATGCTGGGCTAGATGGGCCAGTGGTCTGACTCGGCATAAGGCAGCTTCCTATGTTCCTAACAAAGCAATTTGAGACAATCAATACACTTTGCAAACCAATTAAAGCAAGGGTGAGGTTTTTGTGGGCCTCTACATATTGTTGGACTGCAGCTCCTGTTACCCCTCACTATTGGTTTTCTTGGCTAGAGCTGATGGGAATTGTAATCCACCAACATTTGGTGGGGCACATCATGCTCATGCCTGAATTGAACAATAAAATGCAGATCGAAAGATAAGCCATCCTCACTGAAACAATAGGATGGTGCACATGGTGCTAATGTCCTATTACATACATGGAAAAAATGACTAATCTCAGTGTTTGGGTTTTGATACACAGAGTTGCCACACTGCATAGCCAGTCTGGACTGCATAGTCTTACACAGGTCTGTGTTTCCTCCTACTTTAAAGGACAAGTTTAATTAATGGGGTGTCCTGATCTTAGCTGCACAAGGAAAGCATTTATTTTGTGTTAGTCAGTGGAACAGATTGTGCTAAATCTGTGCATAAGTGCTCCTGCTTCTGATGTATTCTTGCTTGTATGCAGAAGGGGTATAATAGCTGGTACATAGCACTGGAAAATATTGTGAGTGCTATGTGTTTATAGGTGTGGGATGTTTTGGCAGTGATGGGGCCATGAGCATGCTTTGATTTGGGCAAGGATGGAGTGGTGCAAAGGTATAGAATACCAACACTGGGAGACTCCGGAGAGAACCCCAGCATTGGCTTTTAAAAGCAAATTTCTAACTCTTATGGCTGCCCGGGAATGTTTCACTGTACTGCATAGCTTAGGTCTGGTCTACAGCGTAATAAGACCTGGCAGCCCCTTCTAGGAAAAAAAAAGTTTTGGGGGGACCAGCATTAATGGTTACGTCTCCACCCCCACATGCACGCACTCTTTGCACACTTACACGTTGCTGTTTCTCAGCTCCGAATTACCACTTCCTTATGCCGCTTTTCCTTGGGGAGGGGAAGGGGAAGGGGGAAGGCTTTATTGCACATATTTGTGTGTGATTTCTCTCCTGGTCCATGTTGCCTTCTCCCCATGTCTAGCAAAACCCAAATGACTATGCAAAATAATAAAAACTGAATAAGGTTCTGCAAATAAAAGAACTTCAGTTTGTATAATATATATTGGTTGCTTTTCTTGGCATGGGATCTCAACTGCATGGGATAGTTGTTGATTGTTGTTGATTATTGTTTTGTGATTATTGTGTTATTGATATAATATGCTTTGTTGTAAATGTTTGGACTGATTTTATACTGTTCTGAGAGTTTTTACAGTAGAACAGTATATAAAAGTTTTATGACCTCAAGAGAAACCAAAGTTTTAAATAAATAAATGGGACCTAGATGCTATTTTTCTTTCTAGATGCATAGTACACACGAGTGCTGTGTGGAAACCCATTCCCTTCCATTTTGTACCTCCCTTCACAATTGCAAAATTGAGTCCAGTGGCAAGAGGACACAAACATTTACTGGTGATTTTTCTCTAGGCTTCTTCTAACCATTACAACACAATGTACCCTAATTCTGTGGGGCATTTTGGGTAAGAGGACACCAGCCACCAGAGGAGGAACTTGATCACTAGGGTATCTTTATGCTCCTAATTTGTGCTCTGACTTTGAAATGCCAATAGGGGTGCAGTGTTGCCCGCTTCCTCCATTTTTCAGCTGAATTTTTAGCCAAGCCTTGATGCATACAACCCTAGGCATGGATTCCCCGTCCCCCCCCGCCCGTCCCCCGGGATCAGATTAGGCTGCATTTTCAGTATTCTTCAAGCACCGTACTTCTTATTTGTATCAATAATGTAGATTTGGTTTTTATTTAATGTTTCAGAAATATGACTCCTTGCTAAACAACAAAAATCATACAGAACAAGTAAAACCTCTACAAGCAAGTTCTCCCACTGGGGAGAGAGCCAAACCTCATTGCTTTATCATGGGCACCACTAATGAAGAGACAGTCTCAATGGAGCAGAACTTGAACCCTCTGTGCTTTGAATGTGGCCAGCAGCATTGGACAAGGGAGAATCACTTGTACAATTACCAGAATGACGTGGACGATGATTTGGTCTGCCATATTTGCCTTCAGCCCTTGCTACAGCCATTAGACACCCCTTGTGGTCACACATTCTGCTATAAGTGCCTACGAAACTTTCTGCAGGAGAAGGATTTCTGCCCTTTGGATCGCAAAAGGCTCCATTTTAAGTTGTGCAAAAAATCCAGCATCCTTGTTCACAAACTGCTCGACAAGCTCTTGGTATCTTGTCCCTTTTCCTCAGTATGTGAGGAGGTGATGCAGCGATGTGACCTGGAAGCCCACCTTAAAAACAGGTAAGCAGGGAGGCGGCAGGACACACACAGCTGGTGCGAATAAGCCTTCCCTCCCATTCTTCTTTCTTCTCTTGAAAATAACAGGCTGTTCCAACTTTCCTTTCTCCAGCTTTCTTTCAACCACCCTGCTCTGTAAGCTTCCACCTCTCCCTTCTTTTATGTGTCTGCACTCTGCCTCATCGTTGAGTGTGTGACTCAGAAAACAAGGTAGGGGTCCATCTCTGAAGCTCTTGATCTTTTTACAACATTCTGGCCGAGAAGTATGCAGTCTGTTGCCCAGAAGATGCATGCAACCTCCAAGACCTTTGACGCAGCCCTCTGGGTGACCAGATTCCCCTTGCTGCCCATAAATATATATCTTTGTTGCATTTATGATGCACCTTTTCCACAGGGAGCCCAAGCTGGCATATGCAATCACTATCCTCTTCATTTTATCCTCACAACACCTCCGTGAGGTGGGTTAGACTGGGAGTCAGTGATGGCCCTACGTAACCCATACAGCATACAGTGATGGCCAAGTCCAACACTCCAGCCATTACACCATGCTGACTCTCACATGTATGCATGCACACACGCACTGTGTGTGTGTGTTCATAGGCTTAAGGCAGCATTATATGACAGTCCTCAGGGGTGCAATGATTGTGCATGATTGCTCTAGCTTTAATCAGAAGGTCTGCTGTAGTATCAAACCAAGACTCCAGTGGGGAAGGTGAGAATGAATGTACTCACTTCCCTTCCATCCACAACTGTATAATAATTGTGGTCAGGGGCCAAGGCCAGGGGCTTTCTAAAACCTACTTGCTATGGTGAGGGAGGAAGAAAACTTGTGCCAGTACTAGCCACATCAAACATACTTCCCAGATCAGAAAGGCACAGATAGCCTTCTGCCAAGAAAGGAAAAGAAATGCAAATTTCCTTACTGTGCTAAAGCACTGGAGAAACATAGAAACAGAGCGAGTCAGAAGGGGTCTCCCGGGCCATCTAGTCTGACCTCTGACACCAGCCGGCTCCACTCATGACATGCCCACCATGTGCATGAGAAGAATCATCCTATGGCTGTTAGTCAACTAAAGAAGTGCAAGCTGCATGTCCGACTAAACGAAAACCATAATTCCAAAGAGGAAGGAAATGTGATTACTTTGTATTTTGATAATACATGCTCATTAAGGATGTCTGAAGAATCCAGTGTATTTGTATTGAATATTTTGATACAAATAGACTGATCCACACCCCTGTACAAATTGGAATCCAGTTGTCTGTCAGATTTTGCACTTGCCTGAGTGCTAGGTATCAGCTTTTTTTAAAAAAAAGTACCAACATTATTTTAAAATGTAAATTTGGATATGAACTAATGCTGTTTTTTGAGGAAATATCTGCAAAATGGTTTAAATACATATTTACATGCTAATTTGCATGCAGGTTTTTAAAATGTGTAGGAATGGGTTCGAATGGATTTATGAGCAAATGCATGCTAAAATGACATGAACAGGAAAAACTAGCCCATCCCTAAGGTTCGTATCATCTTTTAGAAGAACCATTTCCACATCTGAGGAAGAAGTGAGATGCCTCTACTAATATGGCATCAAGCTTTTGGTAATACTTAGATCATAAGTAATTAAGAAAAAAAACCTGCTGCTCATTTAATTGGAGCTCTCTGCCAATTTTGTGTGCATGTCATGATGTGCACTTTCCACAGATTTTTTTTAAAAGAGCACCCATAAAATGCGGATAACATTACGTTCTTGGAATTCGTAACAAACTCATTTTCACAACAAGCCAGGGAGGAATGCCATTTACAAGTCTAGTTTTGCAGATGGGAAGCCAATGTCAAGAAATATTGATTGTTCAGATTCACCCAGAGTATCTGTGTCTTGGGTTCAGGGTTGGGGTCCACCTCCCAGATTCAAGGCCTGCAGCCTCTATTATTCTGGACCAAATGGGACTGGAATGAGACTCTGTCTTTCCTGAGCATCACGGACCTTCTGACTCAGACCTGATAGTTTCCATTGACAAAATAATCTGCTTCATTTAAGCATAAAAGCTGAATTAAATGTCAGTCTAACCCGGAGGCAAAGCAGGAGTGTGTGGCCAATCTGTGAGTTGGCTCAACAAGGAGATTAGAAGAATGAGGCACAAATGTAATTATTTCCTGGTCACTAACTCCACCCCCAATATTACCCTATTGCCTCATTAGCATCCCCTTGATTTATCAGATTTTCAGGTTCAGTAGATACCCAAAAGAGATCCAGACCCCTGGAAGTGTTTCCAGCTCATCTGTAATAAACAGCCACTAGTCTCCTATGAGCTTCATGCATTATTAGGGAACCTTTTTCCTGCTAAATAGCTATTTGGAATATATTTTATATCTTACCAAAAGTCACACAATAATCTTCCCAATTATTCTTCTCAATCAACTTTTATTTGATTCTGCTTCACAAAAACAGTAAGTGTAACAGTTCATTGTATTATGAAAGATTGGAACTAACTTGTAGGAAAGGGCACAATCACATCAAGCCATACCCACTGTGAGCTGAGCCCATGCTGCTTGTTTCTCCATCTTCCTAGCTGACAGCTGTTACAGAATTCTGTCTGCCGAATTCAAATTTCAATGGTTTGGATTCAGACTAAATTAGTTGAACTTGGCTGAAAGCAGAAGCAGCAGTTGACCAGCTATGAGATGGATCCATTCCCTAAAGGAAGCCACAGCTTTGAGCTTACAAATGCTGAAAAGGACTGTCAAGGATAGGACTTTTTGGAGGGTATGCATTCATGGGGCCACCAAAAGTTGGAGACGACTTGATGACATGTAAAAAACAACAACAAATTGTTCCAGCTCCTTATTTCTAATACTGTGCTAAACACGTGTGATTTCCCTCCACCACTCCCTATATATTTTTTAATACTAATATGTCTTCAGACTTTCGTTCATGCATGCCTCTAAGTTCTTAATCCTATAGATGCCAGCCAATGAAGGCACATCACATTCTGCCATTTATTGAATTCGTTTTTAGCTATGTTGTAGTTTCTAGATCGTGGTGTATCTGTTCTAAGGCTTCTCAACCCTCCCTTAGTGTTTAGCAGCCCTGTGACCTTAGCTAGTGGAAACTGAAGATGCATGATGGGCCCAGGTAGAGGAGGAAGTTGCAAGAGTAAATGCATAGGAGCACGAGGAGTGCAGGATAACTGGGAAGGTTCCAAAGCACTTAAAATGTGAGACTTAAATGATTTGTCCCTGTGAGAGAGCGTCTATGTCGCCCATGACCCATGCATACAAAATAAATGTGGCTCATGTTGGGAATATATTAGTCATATGTATTCATATGTTTCAGACTTGACCCCATTCTCCCATTCAGCTTTGAGCTGCTTCTTATCAAATGATATTTAAAGAGAAAGTAGCTCCTGCACAGAACTGCGCTTTGGGCCCAGATCTGTCAAGGGAACAGAGTTGTCATACTGAACTCCTTCCCAAAGCCCTCTTCCCCAAATATTCCTGCCCTGTCTCCTTTGTATAAAACATGGAGGGTTCAGCCTCCAGCCCATGGGCCTCATGTGGTCTGCAGAAGGTGGTCATCCCATCTGCAGAGGATTGGGCACCCTCCCTAGGTTTCTTCCCAAGTCCTGCCCCTTGCACTGGAGACTTTGGCAGTTGGGTGGAGGACTTGTTATCTCTGATCTGTGCACAGCACAGCTGATTCCCAGTCAATGTGCCAGATGGATTGTGGCTGCACCTCCCAATGTCATTCAGCCCACACTCCTGCCGTGCATATTGAGGCTGCAAGGGATGTATGGGAACAGGATACATCTATAAGAAAGGTTGAACAAAGGCTTCCATAAATACAGATTTCAAGAGGTACAAGTGATGGCCCCACCAAGAGTCTAGTTAATATTTACCTTCCCTCTAAAATAATAGTCTGAGTTTAGAGTAAAGATCTCAGTTTGAGAGATGCATATGGAATTGACTAGTTCTCGATTAAATTTCAGCATTGTAGCCAAATGCAATCCGCTTTCCTCAATATGGTGCCCTCCAGGTGTTTTGGCATCGGCCCCAGGCAAGCATCATCAATGGACATGTTCTGTAGAAGTTGGCATCCAGAATATCTGATGGGGAAGGCGGCACTGGATTATGCAACTGTGGGAATCCAGGCATTTTATGTTGTTTCTTGATGGTAGCATTTTGTCTGTAGGTGTCCTGGGGCTTCCCACCGAAGAGCTGCCTTGGAGAGAAGAAAAAACAACAAATTGCAGACAGACACTGAGAGCGAGAATGAGAACAGCATGCTAGATCACCCAGGGTCCCAGTCTCCCAGTGCAGAGCATGCTGGGACAGGAACAGCACCAGTGGAGCTGAACATTACATCAACAACTGTTCCAGTGTGGGCAGATGAATCTGGCCTTGACAACCCCGCCTTTGAGGAGAACACAGGAGCTGACAGTATGTTTTGTTTTGCTTTTGACATCCTATTTGATCTGACTAAATTAAACCTTCAAACTGGTGAAATCTCAAAGTCAGATGAATCCGCCAGATTAATTGGGACACTGTTTTTAAGGAATCAAGACAGCCATTTTAGTTGATAGCTCTAATTAATGAGCTCAGTAAATACAGCACTGTAGGCTTGGACTTTGATTACTGCTCAGGAAAGAAGACTGAGAGGTATAACTTGTTGAGGGTCACCCAGGAAGATTCAGGGCTAGGGTGGAATTTGAACCTGCATTTCTTGGGACTAGGTGGATCTTCATCAATGACATAGCGTTTAAATTTTAGCTTGCCATGCTGGTTATGTGCACATGTGAATACTATGATGTATTTTGGGTGTGCATGGTTTACATTTTTAAATTGAGGGCCATACAGGAAAATGGATTTCCACTTTCCTGTCCTATACTTTCCATTTTCCTGAAACATCTACTTGAGACACCTGCTTGATCCTCGGTCCATCATGGTTACCACAGAAGCAAGCTGGCACAATGCCCTCTGCAACACTGCCTGGCCTATCGCCATCTGATTATCCCAGGCTTGCTTTTACATAATCCAAGGCTATTGCAGCTCATGCTTTGCACTGCTTTCCCTTATGAGGAACGTCATGGTGGGTTCTCATATTTCAGATTATCTCAATACATAGTCTCATTCCTCCTCCATAAGTTACTCTTGATCCTTGCTCTAACCCAGCTGGGATGGATGTCACTAATGCCCATCTTGTCCAATATTCTGTTCTGTTCCCAGCCAACTGCTTCTGGGCGTTTTAAAAACAGGACTCAGAAGTATTAGCCTTCTCCAGCTGTTGGGTCTAGCAGTGCACATGAGCTTCATGTTTAGGTTACGACAGCTAGTAACCCATGGTCAGAATGTCTTCCATTGCATTTGTCTTTTCCAGCCTTGAGTCTCCACATGGATTACAACTTGCGAGTGTCATCCTTGCATACTCGCTTGTTGGCTATGATGGCGGCAGTTGCAGTCCAAGAGCACCTGAGGATCCAGGGCTGGGAAAGGCTGGACTCCAATTCTTGTCTAAAGTCAGCATAGTTAATGGCACATGATGATTTAGGGTTAAAGCAGAGGCCTTCATCATAGATAGCCTTGCTCCCACGGAGAATCCAAAACTGCAGGTAGCTAGGTTGAGCCATATCCATAAACAATTCTATTCACCACCTCCAGTTTTCATCTCCACCAAGATCTGGCCTTTGGTAAATCTAATGGGACCTAGTGGCTCATTCCAGACCAGGCTACCCCCAAAATACTTTGCACTGGACTAGGGTATATTACAACAATATATTGTAACTGGGGAAAATGTTTCTTTTCCTTCTAGTACTATGAAGGTTGTAGCTCAGCTGGGCAGAGCCGGTGGTATAGTGCCTGGAGTGGGACCCAGGAGAGAGAAGTGCCAGTCCTGAAGCTCACTGGGTGCTTTGGGCCATTCACTGACTCGCAGCCTAATCTGCATCATGGGTTTGTTGTGTGGATAAAATGGGGAGGAGGTTATGTAAGCCACTTTGGACTTCTTGCAGTAAAAAAGTGGGATATGATTATAATCAACAAAAATACCCAAAAGGAACAGGAAAGCCCAGGAGAGTAGCCGATTGTCCTGGTTAATCACAAAGTTCTGGGGGCGTTGACCCTGTGAATTCCCTTGCGCAATTCTGAAAGAGGGAAGGTGGTTCATGGGCAACAACTAGCCCCTGTGAATTAATTTCCTTGCAGGGATTATCGTTGCACATTGGCAAATGAATGAAATCCTGGTACAAAAATTAGCAGATAACAGAATGAAAGGCGTCTGACAAGCTGCAAAACACAGAATAGATGTCATGAAATCTGTTCATCCTGAGCAATCCTGTGAACCTGAGAATAAGTGCCACTGAATGCAGTGGATCTTACTTCTGAGTAGACACATGGGGTTGCACTGCCTGATTCTTCACTTACTATCTGTTTCCTACAAGAAGGCAACTGAACAATGGCAATGTGCATCTGCAATAACCTAACAATAACATTTCCAGCATCTGGGAATTTTGTAGTGGAAGCAAAGTCTTATCAGAGAGGAAAGGAGCCCTTCCATTTCCATTTTCTAGCATGGGCTGTGTCTCATTTTGTTAGGTCCACTTTGTAAAAAATGTTCTGAATTAACCTTTCACACTTTGTGATAACTGAGGTTGCTATAACTCTTCAGCTGACTTCCAGAGCAATTTCACAAATCTTGCTTAAATGCTGCCTGGCTTCCTTTGAAAGTTTGACAGATGTTTTGCCTGAGCAGGTCTCTTCCAAATTTAGTTCAGATTTCTCTTTAAGGGGTAACATTCTTACGCTGCATTCCCACCCCCACAGAGCACCTGCAAGACTATGATACTAAACATATTTACTTGGAAGAAAGTTAACTGTGCACTGCGAGCCTTGTCTTCGAAGTAAACATGTCTGTGGTTATGCTGCAAAGTATAGATTTTGTCTACTCTGGGCAATATCTGGCCTGCCTGAGGAACCAGTCTGGCTGTCTGGGATCCCCCTGGGATCTCCTTCTTCCTGGACTGCCAATCACTTGGTGGATTCCTAGCCATGGTACATTTTTTCCATTCCAAAATATTGAAATGCCTCTCCTACAGCTTCATTACAGGCAGCAAGAGTTTGAACTACAATATGCTGCTATCTTGGCTTCGACCTTCTTGTCTTTGCTCTTTTTGACTTTTGTTTTGCCCTGGAATGTGGCCCCCAGGAGTTTGTCTGAAATTGAACGCATCCCTCAGGCTGAAAGGGGCTTGATGCTCATGCTGAACAAAACACAAGAGGACAGGTTCCTGCCCCAAGGAGTTTACAATCTACAATTCAAGAGGAAAGGAAGGTGAAACCACGATAAACAAAGAAGCAATGTTTAGTTCTTTTGGACAATTTAGTCTTTCCAAGTGTTTTGGCCTGCAACTCCATCTGCTCTACCCAGGATATACAGTGGTGGGAGGAAATGGGAGCTGTTAGGCAAAAACATCTGGAGGACCAAGCTGCCCATCTCTGCAAGAGGACAAGGAAAGAAAGGGGTTGTGCTGAAGATTTTTCAGAAATGGCAGGCTTTGCAAATTAATGATTATATAATAGATATACATTCCAAGAAGTCAGTGGGCTGTGCCAAAGTCATTTTCCCCCATGAAGGCTTGAACTCTATGAGTGGTAAAATGCTTAAAAACAAGAAGCAGTCTTGATAACAGTCCAGCAACTGCAGGGCAAATCCAGCTTGTGCTCCATGTGACCTCTCAGGCTGAGCGCAGTTTACCAGCCCATCAGAGCTCCATGACTCTCCTGTTGCCGGAGCCTGCAAAAGCGCAGCAGGTGTCCACAAGTCTTGCAGATCCCAGCCTGTGTCCTAATGCAACTAGGTCTCACAGAGCTGAAGCACTGGGGCTTTTTGTTTAGCAGCAAGGCTGATGCGGCCTGCCACCACTTCCGTCAGATTTCCCCCACGATATATTGTAATGAGCTGCTCCTTTTCTAATGCAATATATTTTGGATGACCTGGTCTTGAATGGACTATTTAGACCTATTACATTTAGGAAAGACCTGCAGAAGGCACATAATACCAAGAGAGCTCCAGCTGCCTGCATGGTTGGACTCTCTTGTGGCTCATTTGTGAGGATTATCAGGATAAGTGCCTGCACTTGAAAATGCACCACTGCATGGTCACAATACATGGATCTGCATTTGGCCAGTTGTGCAGGCTTGGCTATTTGCATGACAGCCAGCCGGTCTGTTTTGTTTATAGTCCATCAGTTCTCTCTGTATGAAAAACACATGTAAGTTGTAAATTTTGTTTTCTTTTCCAATCGGCAGCAACTCATCAGCTATCAAGTCTGCCAGAAGGCGAGATCACAGCCATTGAAATCCATCGGTCCAATCCTTATATTGAGCTTGGAATTAGCATAGTGGGTGGCAATGAAACACCTTTGATCAACATTGTCATTCAAGAGGTTTATCGAGATGGGATTATTGCCAGAGACGGAAGGCTCCTTGCTGGAGATCAAATATTGCAAGTATGCTTCTGACTGTATATTCTTCTCAGCTTGCATATGTCCGGGCAGAGCTTTACTCTATTTAGTGTTGGCCAGCTGGGAGGGAGTCATCATTTCCTGGCAGACAGTTGGAATTCTCTGTTCCAAGCTGATGTTAGGATAGCAGTTCCTTATTGTGAAATATTATTATTACTCTGGCAATAAGATTTACTTTTTCAGGACTAATACCAGTGATTTACTGTTTGGGTTTTGCATCCTGTAACTGTTTCTGTTCTGTTACATCATGAACATCTTGAACATCTTCTGTTCTGTTACATCTGTTCTGTTACACCTCATTACAAGTGGCGAGGTGAGACTGAATGTTCCGCCTTCATGACATGACATGTTTCTGTCACATGCAGCTCTCAGTGTCCTGTGAGAATATTTTTGGATAAGAGGTTAATATAATGTCTGGAGTACAGCAGCATATACTATTTATTACTGATAATTCCTGTAGCTTTCTGTTCCCTACCCCTCATTCCAACCCATTTGATGGATTCACAGTCCTCATCTCCTTTCTCCTGGCTGAAACCAGGATACATGCTTCTTGAAAATGTTCAAGCCATTTCAAGTCCAAACAGGTTGTTTTTCTGTGTGCAGGATGAGTGGGAGATAATTGCGGGACAGAAGATATTGGCAAACCTCTGCTAATGTAGGAACATTATGGAAATCAGTCTAGAGAGCTGATAAGCATGAATTGGAGGAGGATTAGTGGTACTTCTAGACCAAGAGATCTGTGCTACTACCACTTTAAAGACATTGGACAGTCTTCCATCTTTTCTCCCTTAATGAATTTTCAATAGTAAAAGACAGAGTAGGAGTGGGAAAACACAAGAGGGTTTGTGGAAAATGCCCATTTCCATAAGAAGTGAAAGACATCGTTGTGTGCCACACCCATAAACTCTTATTAATGAAGCAAGACAACTGCCCTATGGGAGATTTACCAACATGGAGGGTGGGGAGTTGCATTGCTGAAACTGTTTGCAAAAAAATGGTCAATAATTTTGGTTCAGGCAACCCTAGTTAGCAACACAGTGAGGAACAATGTGTGAATCCTATCTACTAACAGAGAATTGATTCTCGAAGTGCTTATCCATCTATTGCCAAAACAGCAGCACCCATGGGAAGCTGCCTCAGGGAAATTCTCAAGTTTGCAGACATCCCAACAATCATTGGAGAAAATGCCAGGAGAACAACCCTACCCCAAAACAGCCCAATGAGAATTGAGCATGCACAGAGACCATGGAATGTTAACTGACTATTCCAGGAATTGGGAGGGGGGTGGAAAACTAGGGATTGGGAAAGGCACTAGAATGGAATATTCAAGGAAAGGGCATGGCTGACTGGAACCCTGAAAAGGAGCACATGTATTGCAAGTCCCAGTATTCTATTTTGTCCTTTCCTTACCTTCTTTTGCCAGGTCAATAACGTCGACATCAGCAATGTATCCCACAACTATGCCCGGGCCATCCTTTCCCAGCCTTGCACAGTGTTACATCTCACTGTACTCCGAGAGAGACGGTTTGGAAGCCGAACCCACAACCATAGTGGTAGCCCTCCACCTCGAGAAGATAGTTTCCATGTGACTCTGCACAAACGTGACTCCAATGAACAGCTTGGCATTAAGCTGGTGCGCAGAACAGATGAGCCAGGGGTATTTATCCTTGACCTTTTGGAAGGGGGTTTGGCTGCTCAAGATGGTCGACTATGTAGCAATGACAAGGTGTTGGCAATTAATGGACATGACTTGAAGCATGGAACACCTGAATTGGCTGCTCAGATTATCCAGGTAAATATAAATTAAATCCCATAGGCTGGGAATGCAGTTCTAATCATATACTAGATATCAAGGTCATAGATGTTTTAAAACAGGGGTAAGTAAATTTGTGGCCCTCTGGATATTTTAGCTACAACTGCCATCATCCGTCCCCACCCTCAACTAGGCTAGCTAGGGCCGCTGGGAGTTTTAAGCCAACACATTTGCAGGGTCACAAGTGTGCCCAAATTGTAAATATTTATTAAGTGAAACCTCATCAGAGAGAGAAAAATTAGTATAGTATAGTGGGATGCCATATTGAACTACCTCATAGAAATGGGGAGACAAAGCAATGTTCAAGTTTGTTGAGGCTCTCTGTTTTCTACCTCCATGCTCATCTTACCTCATTCTCATCCACAGTACATGTGCTTTTTTTCAAATATTTAAAATGCTCCCTTTTCCAAGCATGTACCCCAACTGTTAATTTTCTCTCATAGGCTGAAGCTTAAAAATATAACTTTCAGGGGATGTAGAAATAAGTCTTTGTGGGAATGCATACTTTATGAAGTTGTGTCCTTTTCAACCGCAAATGCAAGCTCAGGAAATTGTGAACATTACCCAAAAGTATATTCCTGCTTGCGTTCTTGTTAAGTTTTGTGAATGGGACAGGCATGCATGAGTTAGAGACAGTTATAAAATCTGCATCCCCACTATAAAGATCAATAAGTTAACACTCTGTCCGCTGAGAATCTTATTAGTACAGTGAAGGCTAAGTTCCACAGCAAGCGTGTATGTTGAAAACATTAAGGAACGGGGTTTTTTGATCCACTGTGGAGGAGAATCCTATCCTTGCCAACACATGCTTGGGTAGTGCTTGGGCATTTGAGATTAGGACTGGGTGATCCAATGGTTTGACTTGGTATAAAGCAGACTTCCCCTTTGTAGCACCCTCCACATGTGCTTGATTTCAACTTCCAGCATCCCCTGGCCAGTTTTTGATACCACCTTTTGTATCTACTTGAAAGACAGGCTTTCCAGTTCTTTTGACCAGTAATGGCCATTGTCTACAACTTGGGGAATCACCATCTTTGCATCCCCTTTTCGACAACTCAAGGGCTGGAAATTCTTTCTGATTAAGATAATGGTATTGAGAACTTATAGAACTTGACCAAGAATGATCTAGTTTCACAAGCTGAAGAACTTTGATGGTGACTTTTAAAAATGCAAAATGAAAGGGCATTCTAAGCATCCCATGTACCATTACATTAGCATCTGAGGACACATCTTGCTTTTATCTAGAAAGATACAAACGCAGCATATGAGACATTGCACCGTTTCCTTCTTGGCCCAGAGAGAGTGACAGCAGCAAGAAATCAGGACAAAGGACAACCACACCCTACTGGCTCCCCATCGATGGCCAACTGGTGTCCCTTCATATGATTCAGCCTACAGTTCCCAATATTTCTTACCATTGGCTATACTGGTTGATGGGAGTTGTAAACCAAATCATTTGGGCTCACCCCTGCTGTAGTCTTCCAGATGTTGATGAGAGAAATAGCACACTGCCCATGTTCCTCAGCAGTTGGTGTATGTAGGTACACTGCTTTTGATAACTCCATCTTTGATCAAGCTTGCTGGGGCTGATGAAATGTGGAACTCCATAATACCTAGAGGACTGCTGGTTGCCTCAGTCTGATCCAGGAGATTGGGAGGAAAGAAAGGAAGAAGGGAATAAGTTGCAAAACAGTATGTTAAAATACCAGACCCAAAGAAATAAACCCTAAACTTGTGTTTATGCAGCACCTGCCACACAAAAACTGTATAAATGTTACTAGCTACATGTTTGTTTGTTTATTTTGCATTTTGCATTGCATTTTATACCATCCAATAGCCGACACTCTCTTCACACACTCTGCTAGGCAGTTCACATTCCTCAGTATCACCTCATCTCATTATCTCAGTTGCCATGGGAAAGCAATCTTGAACAGGACATCTTGTAGCATGCAAGGTAAAACACTTATTTTCCCACTTCAGGGAGAGCTGCTGTAACATCCAAGAGTCTAAACATGCACTTTTGCAACCATGATAAATCACATGCAGAAATACGAGAAATATACCCCGTCCAATATTAGATTGACTTCCATTCTTTGTCAATCTCAGTTTCTCATCCCTTGTTTCCATCATATATGAAAGATGGTGTAGCAGAAATCCTTCATTTCTTACCACATTACATTTGCTTGTCAATTCTCAGGGGTCACATTCACACGCACATGTACATGCATATGTGTATATATATATATATGAGAGAGAACATAGAAATAGTCATCGTTATCTATAAAACCTGCTCTGAGAATTGGCAGTGGAAGGTTAATAAATTCTCAGCATAGATCACTCCAGTTGCGGCCAATATTGCAGTAGTTTAGGTGGATACACACTCATCTGCCACCATGCCTGTGTTGGGTTCAGCAAAGATATGCAAAAGAAGCTGCCTTATATCAGGTCATCTGTCCATCTAGCCAAGTATTGTCTCTTGACACTGGATCTCTGGTGGAAAAGGTGGGGTAAGACCTTCTGCAGCAAAGAAGGTGTTCTGTCTGTTGAATGACAATCCTCTCTCCCTTGTACTTATACCAACAGCTACCATCTGATAGGAAAGGGACCTCAAAGCACATGGCAGTGAATGTTTTGGGCAATGGAAAGAATGTTCCACATAACAGATTAAAGGGACAGGGAGTTGGCTTTATCCTGTGGTGAGACAGTTTGGTGCCCTAGAAATGTTTTGGCCTACGGCATCTCTGATCCTTGGCCATATTGGCTGGAGTTGATGACAGTTGTAGTCCAAAACATCTGGAGGGGCCCAGATTGGGCGGAACTGCTCTACATACTTCTGGGGGAGGGGGGGAGTACATTTTTTAAAACTCCTTGCCTCCTCACCTACTTCATGCAGACAGTGGACAGTTCCCATGCACCTTTCTTTGCGCTCCTTGGGCAAAAAAGTAGAATATGATTTTTAAAAGGTTTCCTCCCTACTAAGACACCATGAAAGGGTGTGTGAGAGTTTGCATAGTTTGTCCTAGCTTCGTCCTTCACAGGGCTGGTTTTCACTGGCTTTCCCCAGTTCCATTCACTCCAGATGTGTTCACTCAACAAGGGTGCTACTGAAAGATGATGGGCAATGTAGCCTTAACACATCTGGAGGAAGCACAGCTGGGGAAGGCTAATCTACAAGTTACCCAATAGGCTTCTGTTATGCCTTATAATATACCTTACACCTTCCTTATACCTTTGTTCATGGTGACTCTTTGCATCCATTAGTAATGTGTAACGTGCTGCTGCTTGTGTCAAGAATTCCAACTGTATGAAGCATCTCTTTCTGGTACTGATTCAGAAACTCTCCATGTGCTTGCAAGCTTCATAGTAGAAGTACCACTGCATATTACAAGGTGTGCAGAGCTGCTTTCCATACAGCTGGCAAGGAGAGCCGAGAAGACCTTCCCAGGTCATATTGGCATCAGTAAAATGGAACTACCCAGAGAAGAATCTGAGCGGGCTCAGTCCTGTTCCCTCTGAACACAGCAGAAGGATACCAGAAGGTTAAAAGCTGCTCACATGTTTATATTTTAGTTTTAAAATGTCTCTGCAGCATTTCCAGACATCTACCAGCCAAGTAAACAGTCTGTGTGGTAAACATGCATGGTAATGTAAGCAGGTATTTAAATCCCAGCGATACGGGCTTAAAGCTGGGGACTCCAAGGTAGCAGGGTCCTTGCCTCACTTAATTTTTATTTTAATTTATTTAGATTTTTTCAATTTTTCCTAGACTGCGGGGCTGCCCTGCACTGCCACCTATCCTTGGGCTCAAAAGAGTGGCTTGGTGCTGTGAAGCTCAGACCCCACCTCTGCTTTGTACTTAGGTGCTTAGAAAAGCCACTTTCCTTCCAGCCTCCTCAGTTTGCCTTCTGGGGAAAGGTTGTTTTGTGCTCAGCCAGGGTATAGCGGCAGCCATTTTATGAACGAACAAGCTGCCAAGGCAGCTGTTTGTGAGCATCCCTGTGACACAAGCTCAACATTCCAAATCTGCTCACCCACTAAAAACAGTCGGGGATCCCTTGCCCAGAGCCGGAAAGGGTCTGCAAATTCATACTGTCAGAGCTGTCATTTCCTTATGTGGTGTAAAATGTTCCAGCTTCAGAACATATTCTTGCAAAATATTTTAGGTGAGTTTGGTTTGCAGAGGTGACCAGCCTACAGTCTGTAGTGCTGACTGCAGCTGCTCACTGCCCACCATCTTTGTGTGTGTGTATTCTGCAGGCCAGTGGAGAAAGGGTGAGTCTAACCATTTCCCGGCCAGCCAAGTCACAGGTTGTGAGCATTCTCAGAGACGGAGGAACTCATCCCCTCGGCCAGCACCAATCTCATCAACTGTATCACAGCAACCGGCCCAGCCCACATAAGGTAAGCTGAAGGATGGTGGCCTTTGCGGGAGGGAGGGAGGGAGGGAGGGAGGGAGAGATTGGTTCCCATCATATGTTACGGAGAACGACCCTCTGTGTCTTTTTCCTGAATCCCTGTGCAAAGTGAACTGCTGTGAGCTTAGAGGATTCACACCTCCAAATGTTGCCATGCACGGTTCCCCAATCAAGAACAGCCTATAAAAATATGTATATTAGGGAAAAGCACACAAGAACATGTGTACATTAGTGAAAATGATGACAAAATGCATTATATAATAGATTGCAAAAAGTGCACCCATTGAGACAGCTGCATACATCAATATGTGCATTGGAGGAAAATGCATGAAATGAAATTGACAGAGTCACCAATCCTTCCTTCGCAGACCTCTGCTGAGAAGAAATATTGTCCGAGCATCACTAGCAGGTTGCACCCACTCGCTGCACAGGCTTGCTCAGAAAGGCTGGGAGGCGTCTCCTTCGGGGGATGGCATGGCTGTTCTTGTGAACAGTGGGCTGGCACCCATCAGTCACAGAGATGTGTATTTCCTTCTGTTCTGGGCAAGCTGTGAAAAGACAGTTATGTGCAGTGCGGCAAGCAACGTGGAACTTTCCACAGCAGGCACCATGTGCTTGGCATTTCTGACCCACACTCCCCCCTGAAGAAAAGCCTGCTGGGTGATAGTGTGCTATTGTGCAAACCCACAGGGTGCCCCGGCCCTTTGCACTTCCCAAGAAGTCCATGCAGCTGCTTGATATCTTGATACTTTCTGGGGGCTGTGGGGGAAGAAACAAAGGGCCTCTAACCCTCCAGTGCTTTCTGTCTTCTTGCAGGACCTTTCCCAGTGTGTCACGTGCCAGGAGAAGCACATCACTGTGAAGAAAGAGCCCCATGAATCCCTGGGCATGACTGTAGCAGGAGGCCGAGGCAGCAAGAGCGGAGAACTGCCAATATTTGTGACGAGTGTGCAACCTCATGGCTGCCTGGCAAGGGACGGCAGGATCAAAAGAGGTGGGAGCGGAAGGAACCCCTGAGGCAGCATGTTGAGCAAGAGCTCCTGGGTACCGGGGGGGGGGGGGGGCTTTGTCTCAGTAGGACTTGCATAGGAGATACAACTTCCCCCAACTTGCCACCTTAGAGATATGTTGGACTACAAATCCCATCAACCTCAGCCAGCATGGCTGATGGTCAGGGATGGTGCATTAAAAAGTATTGTTTTAAAAACAACAACAGAAAAGACAGCATTTAAAGACAGTAAATAAGCAGCTAAAAACAGAGAAGATTATTTTTTAAATGCAAGATTGAATTTATTGAAAATATAGTCTGCCACAGATATTTTTTTTTACTATGTGGGTCCTTGCCTGATGCTGAATGAGTAGCTACCAGGCAGACCTCTCTTCGAAGGGCATGTTGCAGTTCAGAAGGGAGCCACATGGGATTAACAATTGCAAACTCCTCCCAGATGAAACTGGAACAACTTGGAAATGAACAAAGTCATTCCCAACTACAAAAACAAAAAACCTGAAAGATACTGCTGCGTGTCCGTCCTCACCCGCTGCCCCTCCCGTCTCCAACTGCTCCCTCCCCTTTTGCTCTGCAGCTGCTCTTGCTGTCCAGCAGTGGCTTCAAGCAAGAGGAAAGAAAAGGCTTGGCGGTTGCTGGTGCGTGCCGGGCCACAAGCTGCCCTGGGAAAGGTAATCTTCCCAAAGGCTGCTGAAGTTGTAGCCCCGAGAAACAGGACGTAGCCTTATCAACAGCAGTCGCAGCTCTCTGTGCCTGTAAGATCCATGTGGCTATAAGGAGCAGAAAATGGCAACACAGCCGCTGTATGGGAAAATCGCAGACGACTGCATCAGCTAATCAGAAGGTTTTTTGTCCACTTCCTTTTTACCCAGGCGATGTGCTGATGAATATTAACGGCATTGATCTGACGAACCTGAGTCACAGTGAGGCAGTGGCCATGCTCAAAGCCAGCGCAGCCTCCTCGGTCGTTGCCCTGAAAGCTTTGGAGGTCCAGATAGCAGAGGAGCAGCCCCAAGCGAACGATGAGCAGCCAAACACCATCAGTGAGAATGAGTATGATGCAAGCTGGTCTCCATCTTGGGTTATGTGGCTGGGACTGCCCAGGTACTGCCTGAAATCAGGAGCAGAGTGCTTTTGCTTGTGGTCTCCTGTAACACTTTTCTTTCGGCTTGAGTAGGCCTCTGAAGAACCTCTGGGCAATGTGCTTAAATCTTGGCAACCAAGCTTTTGAAAATGTCCCTTGAGTCCTAAGTATGATCTAGTGCCAGTCTACTGTGTACGCAAGTGGATAATCAACCTCTGTCTATACCTTTATGTGGACTTTGCAGCTGGTATTCCAGGCCTGGGAACACGTGGCTATGCACAGTCCCAGCTGCAGCCCCTGCAGTACAAAAATGGGTGTGTTATTTTTTAGAAACCTACGAAAATTATATGTTGGTACTCTGCACCATCTCCAGAGTACAAGTACAGCTTAGATATTTGTCTAATCGAGAAGGATCCGGTCAGCAAATAATTGTAAATTACGTTGAAACCATTAGCATTATTAGAACAGCAAAAGAGAAGCAATTAAAAAAACCTTTTCAAATATAATTTTTAATGATTATTAGTAAAATTTGGCATAAATATAAACTATTCCCTGAACAGGTTTTTTCCCATTAGTCTGTGTCCTAGAACAACAAGTTCAGTCCACTGCTACATTTGTTTAAAAGGAAAAAAATCCTTCAAATAAAGCAAAGTGTTGGTTACAGCAGTTCTTAAACAAGAGGCACTTTTGAAAGATAGCTGTAAAGCAAATATATGGATGTGGGTGAGCAAAGAGGCAGTTCTGTAAGTCTTTTAGGAATACCAATTACAAGGAATATGGGTTGTCCATTTTATGCATCTTTCCACTTTTTATCCACAGCTTCCTGCGCAGTTGCCATGATGTAGTGCTACGGAGGAGTAATTTAGCAAGCTGGGGCTTTAGCATTGTTGGTGGCTATGAGGAAAATCACACAAACCAGCCTTTCTTCATAAAAACGATTGTTCTGGGAACACCAGCCTATTTCGATGGAAGACTCAAGTAAGCTCTCTGGCTTCTCCTTTTTACCTTTCTTTGAAACAGAGAGGTGCTATACACAGGGCTTGTCTGTGATCTTGTAAATTCAGTGTTAAGGCAGTGTAAATTTGTGTTCTGTAAAGATGATATTATGCATATTGATGATGTAAACTAAGTTAATTTGCATGTCTAACCCACACAATCCCTCTTTTTCAGTGTTATAGATGCACTGTAAATTTTAGCTTAATATCTATATACACAAATAGAAACAGTTACAAATTAGATACTGATACCAATATTGATATTGATAGAGATGAAGCAATTCACCCATCAAAGGGGGATGTGTATATTTAGAGTCTGATGGCCAGCAAATGAGCCTTTTGAAAGAGATGGTGTGCACATACGTGTCTGTTGGGAGGTGATTAATGATTTGAGCACACTTGTGAAAACTGTCTTCTCCCTTAGCCAGGGACTCTGGAGCATGAAATAAGAACTGTAAGGCCTAAGGCTGGGACATAACATAGTAAATTGCTTGGACCTGTGCTTGTTCAGTATCCGCAACCCTCTTCTTGCACAAAAAGGAATGCCCATCCCCTGTACCACATGTGTGTTATCTGATAGGAAGTCATGGTTAGGGTTTTCGCTCTTTTCCACCTTTGCACATACACAGGTTCCAGACTTTGCTTTCCATCATCCTTAAGTGGAGTAATTCAAGGGCAGGCGTTTATGCTTGGAAATGGCATCCTCTGAAGTATGTCTACGTTGCGACAGTTTCGTATTACCAGCTCTCACTGGCGCTCTCGCTCTCCACTTCCCTCCTTTAGATGCGGTGACATGATTGTTGCCGTCAACGGACTTTCAACCGTGGGCATGAGCCATTCAGCGCTGGTTCCAATGTTGAAGGAACAAAGAAACAAAGTGACATTGACAGTTATCTGCTGGCCAGGAAGCCTTGTATAGAGGGAAGAACAAAAACAAAAAACACCACTTTGGTTAAAGCAGCTTATTTTTTCTAAATGGCTAGTTCAATGTCTTCAAGCAAGCTGTGTTTTCTTTTTCCTTTCCCTTGCCCCTCTTTTCTACTACTGATGTAGCTGGTAACAAGCTGGGCCAAAAATGCTACCTTCAAACCTGGGGAGTTGGGGGGATAGAGGGTTCTCAACCTCGCTGTTCATACCTTTCCATCTAGAATAGCCATTTCTGTCACACCCGCTCTGTTTCTACTCTCCATTGACACGTGAACATCCGTTCGGACGCACTTTAGGCGCTTGGGGTCTTACAGATGCCGACTTTCCCCAGTCAATCATAGTGCCGACTTGCACATAGCCAGCGTGCAACTTGTGCTGTTCTTGGGTGGCAACTGTCTTCCAAGGACTGCTCGAAGGATCCGTGAGGCATAGGATCCTTTGAGGCATAGGATCCTTTGAGCGTTGCTTGCAAGTTTTCAGACCGCATCGCAGCATCTGGAAGCCCCACTCCTTGTTGTTAAAGTGTGCTTCTGATTGTTACCATTTAACCAGAGTGCTCCTACCAGTTGCTCCAGTGCCCCGCAGTCTCTGGCAGAGGGGTGGGCAATTTCTTAGGTTATTGCTGCCACACAGAAGCTGCAGGAAACAGTTGCATGTGGCACCTGCTCCACATCTTAGCTATCACAGACATGGGGAGCACATGATGGGGATAATTCCTTTGTCCAGAAAATCTCTATGCTAGTGTCAGCTGTCTCTGCCCAGAAATGCAGTGTGGAGTCAGAAATCTTTCACACAAGCTGGTGGCAAACATTTGGGTGAACCTTGTCATGCATTATGGCCACTGTGCCGCAAAAGCAAGCAGATTCCACATTATGTTTGTAGTGTGTCCGTTTGCTCCTAGTTACATGTAATCAGCAGCCCCACATTTTGCCAAACACGGCAGTAGCTTGCAAGAGCGCCTCCCATGCTGTGCAGCTGCCGCATAAATGGCAGGCTGCAGGCTTTGGCCACATAGCATTGCAACATCAGGCACAGAGCAGTGTGTAGCCATCCTGTGTCATGGGTGGTTTCTCCATCAGATACATAACAATGCACATTCTACATGCATAAACTGCACTGTGCTATGGACAAGGTTGTGTATTATCTGTGATAGCAAAATGGAAATCCTGTAACCTGAATAAATTATGAAAACTTGCAATATCGTCTGTATTTTGCATAATTTATTCTGCTTGGGCACTTGTAGGAAAAGAGATGGGGTCATGCAGCACAAATGAAGCCCTAGCACCAAACTACTGAAAGTTTTGCTCCACACCCCTCTGACTGCCAAGATTTCACTAGACATTGGTGAACACCCATTCAATTTATGTCTTTGGCCATAAGGGCTAGAAACTTTATTTTTCTTTAAATGAAAGCTGAGATCCTGATGATGATAAACTCTGTGCCAAACACCAAAGTCTACTCAATATGGTTCCCTCATAACATAAGGAGCTGTTTTGGCTTGAGACGAGTATCTGCACCAGTTTATTCCACACTTCATGATTCCTTATTTAAGAAATACAGGTAATGCTGCCTCCTGTATTGGACATGTAGGGTTGGATCCAAAGCGATACTAGATCAACTGTGGGTGGAGATGGACTTTTTCTCTCCCTACTTTTCCCTGCTTCCCCCTCCAACCCCCTGAAAATGCTACACAGAGAAACGGGGAAACCTGTTGAATGTGGTAAGCAGGGAGGGTGGAGTGTCACCAAAAATAGGAAAACTACATGGGAGAAATGCTTTTCCTTATGGAAAGTCCCTTCCTTTTCTGGAATCAGATTCCAGGCATAGACTGGATTTTTCAAGGCAACTGGTATCCTAGAAAAATCAACCAGTTCTCTGTATTTATAATATCCCTTTTATTTTTTATTTTATTTTGTAAACAGGGACAAAAATGATCATCCAGGAAAAGTCAATTTCCTTTTCCCCAAAAGGAGATTTTATGACAGACACCCAGTTTTATGACAGATATCCAGCTAGTTGAATCTTTCTGCGGCCCTTAATACAACATTTTAAAAAGGGCACCCATTTTAACATCGTCATATTCACTTGCCATGTTCTTTCATAACCTTCCAAGAGTTTGTCTTTTTGTAAAAAAAATTGTCATCTCATAATTTTATTTGCAGTTATTTGTCTACATTGAGTAGGACAAAAGCCTGATCTTTTTAATGAAGTGCAATAATTGGACTATTTCTTAGAAAACTGTTTATCATATAAAGAGGTTTGTACCCTAGAAAAAACATGATTATTCACAATGCTGGCAACAATAAAAATATATAAATTGGGAGGTTACCTTTGATCGATCTGCATTGTTAGTTCCATATACTCGTAGCCTGAAGTGCCTGATCCTGCCTAATCTTGGAAGCTAAGCAGGGTCGGGCCTGGTTGAAATCTGGATGGATGATTTAAATGTTGTGAACCACCCAGAGAGCGTCGGCTTTGGGCGGTATAGAAATGTAATGTAATGTAATAATACTAATAATAATTGTTAGCATGTACTAATATAACTGTTCCAAAGTGAATGTTTTACTATGTAAGAATTTTGATGGACCTTTTTTTCTAAAAGCAAAACAAAAAGAAACATTTTTACAGTTTATACTGCAGCTGTCTGTAGCTCTCTTGAGTGTATCATATGCAAAATCCAAGACGTAATTGAGAAAAGGAAGATGCTGTTGCTAGAAGCGCTACACTACACTTTCAGGAAGCCCAAAGAAGGGAGGCTAATTTGTCTCTCTTTCCCCCACCCTCAAACTGAAAGAACTGCATTTTTTCTCTTGTTCTGTCATCTGCTGACAAAAGCCCAGATGCCTTCACATAAAATGCTGAAACAATCTGTCATGTTTGCAGAATAATTTTCTTGGTTAATCACCTGTCATTGCGCTGATGAGTTAGTTTTATACATAGACTGGTGTTTACATTTCTAAGCTAAACTGATAACATCACTCATTGTTATGATCAGTTGGTCTGTGACTTGGGACAGAATGGGCATTCTTTTGCAAGGCGCTTGGAACGGCAACAGGATCCAAACTTCTACATGCATCAAAAGTTTTGTCTACTTGAAAACGCAGCCAAGTCCTAAATGGTCAACAAGTGTTATGAATAACCTCTGTATTATAATGCTAGTATTGATAATCAGAGAATGTATTTCAGTACCTGCTATTACACCTATTAACTGTTGGCATGAGCTTTTTTTTTTTCCATCCCCGCACCTCTGCCTCCTATGTTAGAAGTGATGTGATACAGGCTAGTATTGCATGTCATAATACTTTTGTTCAAAATGTAACAGGCCTTTGTTTTTGTTTTTCATGGTTCTCAGCAAATATAAAGGGTGGGGGTTTTTGGTCTGTTTATAATACGGAGCTTTTTGCTTACGTACTGTAGATCCATGTTGTATATTACCATGTTAAGATTATCCATTTGTGCAGTGGGTGCACAGAACTCAGTCAGAACTGTGGATTCTCTGATATGTACACAGGACAGGACCCAATAAGCAACTTAGGTCTGCACCAAGGATTGGTTCTAGCCCTGTGAAATGCTGTTCCTGTGCTTTATGTCAAAATGCTTTCAACATCCCCTTTGGTTTCAAAGGTCACTTCCCATAGTGAATGAGACAAGATGCTATTGTTGCAAAGCTTCTCATGGATTTGTCCAGTTGGTTTAGAGGTGGTAGATGTAGACCCTTCCGCCATGGACTTCACTGAAAGGCTGAGGTCTGAAGATGACCTCCATAAATGTGATTGTGAAACTCCATGAAGGCAGAAATCTGCACCCACATTAAAATAAGACTGCTGGTACGAGAAAGGTGTGTGTGTATTCGATGGCCATGGATGAGCTAATGCCAGTCTGGCAGGGTTTGCTAGGCCTGGGTTTATGGGCTGTTTATGGGGCTATTCCTTAGAGTCCAGAGTGTCTGTTAGTTCTATTGCAAGGTTTTTTTCCTCAATTGCCATCCAGGTGATGATTTCTAAAAGCAAACGCGGCTGAAGAAGGAAGGGTTAACTCTTCTCATGTGGTGCAATACTCCTTAGCACCACCACCAAAATAATAAGATCTCTTCCTACATCACAGTTAAGCTTAGAGGAAACTTTTCATTGGCTTGGAAACATCTAGAACAGTTTGCAGATTAACTGAAGAATATTTTATTTGTATGAGAAATTAACTGTCTGGCTTTGCTGCCTGTGAAATTTGATTAAATCCTTGCAATTATTTGTACCTTTGCATATATGGAGAAAAATGAATATATGCAAATTTTATGCAGGTTTTTGTCATGCAGATCTGGGCCCTGAATCATTGTGCCTAGGAAGGTCCCTGCAGTGTGATATAAAAATTGGCATGCTGACATTACTATTACACCACCAGTGTAAATAAGTATAGAGGGACAAATGTTTGAAATATGGGTAAGAACTTGTTTGTGCACTGTAGTATGAAATGCAGAAAAAATCAGTTTCTTTCTATCCCCCACCCTGAAAAGGGAGGATAACTTTTTGGTAGCAATGCAGCACTTTGTAGATAAACAAAGTGGGTTGCATATTATTACAGGTCGCAGTAAATGTTACTGGAGTTTAGCACATTGCATTTGAAATGGCATCACATCAAATTTCCAAGCAGAATCAAGCCACATTTCTTTTTGATCTGAATACAGTCTCCAAAAGTCATGAAAAGTGCTACAGACCTCTTGGGCTAGGACACTAATGGTGACCATCACAATCTCTGCCAATAGAAACTTGTTCTCAGTGGATTCTTCTCATTTTTCTATTCCCCTGCCTCCCACATCTTCTTTTCCTTTCTATAATATTGTAGTTTATATATTCTTCTGTGCCTTTGTCTTAAATTATTTTAAACAATGAAATCCAATGGTGTGGTATTAACTGAAGGATAAGAGAGAAATAAAAATCAGTTCTCCCCTTTGTAGTGTTGCATGGTTTTGGCTTTTGCATGTCTCCATGTAGGAACAGGTAGTTCTCCCCATGGTGAAACAAGCGAACAGGAACATGTTAGTGATTCAGTAACCATGCTCCGTGTAATCCTACTTCATTTCCTGAACGTAAGAAAAGCCATGCTGGACCAGACCAACGATCCATCTGGTCCAGCGTTCTGTTCACACAGTGGCAAGCCAGCAGGGCATGATGCAGCGGGGGGGGGGGGGGGGTGTTCCCTAGCAACTGCTGTAAAAGGTATGCTGCCTCTGATACGGGAGGTACATGCAGCCATAAGGACTAGTAGGCATGGGTAGACTAGTCCAGGAATTTGCCCAGTTCTCGTTTAAAGCTCTCCAAATTTGTGGAAATCCCTAATTCCTGAAGCAGTGAATTCCATGGTTTAAATGTGTGCTGCATGAAGAAACACTTTTAGCTGTTCTGAATATCCCGACCATCAGCTTCATGGCTTGACCCATGGCACCAGTGTTAAGAAGAGGGAGACATTTTTCTATCCAGTTTCTGCACACCACACATAATTTTGAGAATGTTTATCATGTCTCCCTTTCTTTCTTTCCCCCCCAACTCAAGTTATCATTTGCATATCTATGAATAGCACTACGCTTGGCCTTTCCCGGACCCTACAATAGGCCTGAAATATACCTGTTGTAATACGGATTTCCAAAATGGTCGCCTCATGGAGATTTTTCTGCAGAGCTTGTCCTTTCTTCCCCTCCTAAATGCTATCCAGGAATTTTAAACATACTGGGAAGGATTGTTTTTCCAACCCCAACCCTAAGCAGTGCCTTTCCCTAACCCGAAAATATTGCTTAAATATACCTGTCCCAATATGGATTTTCCAATGTGCACCTCAAGATTTTTCTGCACAGCTCGTCCTTTCTCCACCTCTGGAACACCCTGCAGGCATACTCACCATGTTGGGAAGCATCGTTTTTCAAATCCTAACCCTAAGCTGGCACATTGCCTAACCGTAAAATAGGGCTGAAATATACATGTCACAATATGGATTCTAAAAACGTCCACCTGATGGAGATTTTTCTGCAGAACTCGTCCTTTCTCCCGCTCCTGAACACTGTCCAGGGATTTCAAACATGCTGGCAAGGGTGGTTTTTTCCAACCGCAACTCTAAACTGTGCCTTTCCCTAACACTAAAATAGGTCTGAAATATACCTGTCCCAATAGGGATTTGAAAAATATCAACATCCTCGAGATTCTTCTGCAACAA